CACTGAGCGCTCAACACAGACAGCATCGTCAGAAGGAAAGTTGATAAAATAAATTACAAATTTTGTATTGTTCGATACATATGCGTACCGAACCGAAAGCACTGTATCGAACGGTTCAATATCGATACGAGTATCGTTGCACCCCTAGAATATGTATATACTCCTGCAGGAGGGCACGGTTTACATAGAGATGAATGATTTAGCCTGAATTGATTAATACACTTCTGTGCAAGGATATCAGTTGAAAAGACAGAACAGTTTTCTTAGTTTTTTTTTTTCTTTTGTGTGACAACAGATAATGCGGACTGCATTCCAGTAACACCCTTAAGCGAACTTAACAGCTGAAGCTATTCTCACATACCCTGGAGGGATGGCTCAACATAGGCCTGGCAAGGCAACAGGCTTGTAACACACTGGTGGAAACCCTACAACTATCAGGAAATAAAAATGAGCCATGCAAATGTTATAACGCAATAACGTTTGAGCTTCAGGAGTCCAGCTGACATTAATCCGCTTGTTTGCATTAACTACGGTGGGCTGAATCATTCATTCCTATGTGTGAAAAAGGTTAACAGTTATATGGTGCTCTCCCGCTGGTTGAGCCTATGTTACTTCCCCATGGTCTCTCGCTCTTCTCCCATCAGCAGTAAATGAAGTAGCAGTTTGTGCCACACAGTATTAGTGTTAGCCACCAAGCCAGAAACAATGAATTAAAATCCGCACAGAGTACCAAAAAGCCAAAACAAACCACTCCTACTGTTGTTGCACTGAGTGCAAATGTTTTTTTTTTGTTTGTTTGATTGATTGACTTTCACCATGATTTAGTCCAGATGTCACCACAGAACACAAGTCTAATAAAATACCAACTTGAAGCCATGTAACACTCACCACACTGGTGACAACAGGGAGCAAAGAGCATCTGGAAGTCATGTTCACAATATTTCCTCCCTTCAAACTGTAGACAAATAATAATTTAAAGGAAAAAAAGTCATTATATAAAGAAAAGAAAAGGGGACAAATATTTCCACACATGTTTATGAGCTATACACACTGAGCTTTGTACTGATGTAGTGTAAAATGAGCAGTGACTACTAGAGGATGTCTACCTCGTAGAACAGCCCCTCTGGAAACTGCTGGAAACACTGGGCACACACGAAGCACTGCTCATGGTAAAGCTCTCCATTACTGTTGACAATCTTCTCAGTCGGAGCGAAGCCGCTCTTGCATCGCTCGCAGGCTGCACTGGCCAGGGCATTAGCAATGCTGTTGCACGAAACAATAACACATACATTAGGTCTGCAACATCCTCTGACATGCAGGGCTGACAAATAACTGCAGTGCAAGTTTAGACTAGTGTTTATCATTTCTCACATAACTCCTATATCATCTCCTGAGCTTCCTTCATGCAGCTGTCACCATGGAGAATGGAAATAATATTTGAACCCACTAACACTATTACTCACTGCAAAGTCATCACCTAATTTGGTAACAGCACAGAACAGTCAGGGGTTTCTCTGGCTGCAACTTCCCAAACACACAACCACTCTACATAGATGTGTATATATAATTACTGATACATGTGACAACTAAATTATCTCACAATTTCTAACATTATCCTTTACAGTACTATTTACATGTAAATAACTAAAACGAGTCACTTATCTACGCACTATATCTGCTGCCATATCAATCAAAGACATGTCTAGATATATATGGTTGTTTGTATACCCTCCTGTTGTTTATACATTTCTATTTTATAGTTGTTGTTTGTTTGTTTTACTGTTTTAGGAAAAAGCTATTTTTAGCCTTTTGGTCAATAGTTCTACAATTTCAAATAAATAAGCTTAACAATTTTCCTAATTATTACAGTATTACAACTTTCTGACATTAATCCAGGGCACATGAGATACATTTATTTATTTTGTAAATACCAATAAAGTGCTGTGAATGATTGAATGATAAAAAAAAATTATGTGAGTTTTGAAAAAGGAGCTATACAAATAGCGAATACAACTAACTTAGCATGCTAGCCGTTGGCACCGTGTAGCATAGAAAAAACTAAGCTAAGTATATGTAATGAAATCCGCAAACTCCGCAGAGTAATCTCTACACTTTGTTTGCCTTGTACCAAAATGTGGGGTGTGGTGATAATTATACTTGTGTTGCGATAATTATACTGTTTTGAAAAGCGTCCTATCTACTATAGAGAAGCGATGAGCTAACTTCTCCCCAGAGGTTGGCTACGCTGGCAAGCTGTTAGTGTTAGCCTGCTGGCTTCCAAAGCTAACGGGCTATTTAACCTCTACGCGAGTTTATGTTTACGCTACACACACAAAAACGTACCTGCCAGGCATTCCAGCCACACCCAACATCCTTGAGAGTACAGCACCTAGAAAGAAAACTGTTATAAAGCTAACGTGCTCGATCGTTTCCCCAAGTAAAGCAACTTCAGAGAGCTCTGCTGCCCCTCCCAGCTGAGGGGGACTATCCGGCGGCAGTGACTCCGTCCTCCCACGGTGGGAGTGACCGGAGAGCAGCATCCGCCTAACCTCGACTGAGTTTATAGAGACACGACGTATTAAGTTACTGCAGAGCTCCGTGCATGCTCCTCATATATGGGTACATAAAACCATATTTAGAAAATAAATGTTCATTTAGGATTAAAAATACAGAGGGTGTTGTTAAATTACTTTCGTGAAGTGTGTGGTTTAATAATTAATACAAGAAACTAATGTAGTAAAAGTCAAAGGAGCTTGCAAAGAAAATGACCTGGATGACTGAGAACCTTCACAGACCTAATTTAGTAAAATGAATTTCACTTGCAAAATGAATTCACAAAAGAACAGGACACTGAAGCTACAGTTCGCATGGGCTCATCAAAAGATTCTATAGCAGATTCCCTGGTCTGATTTATCTCAGTTTCTGCTGCAAAATTCAGTTGGTAGGGTCAAAATTGTGTAAAAAAGAAAAAAAAGCATAGATCCATCGCACTTTGGATCAATGGTTCTGGCTTATTTTGGTGTTGGTGTCGAGGATATTTTCCTGGTGTACTTTAAACTCAATTCATGGCCACAGTGTACACATGAGTTCATTCATTGTCATTGTCACAGCTGCCAAAATCGCAATTCCAATTTAGAATTAAGATTGTGTTTTTGTTTTCTCCCATTCGTTATAGGTTATCTTTAATATTGAGTCTTTACTTTACAATATGAAGTGTTTGAGGCAACTGGCAGGGGCGCCACCAGGGGGGCACCCCCAAAATTTGCTGCCCCAGTAGTGTGCCCCAATGTTTTTAGTGGCCCTCATATGGCCATCCCTATGAAAAAATGCTGGAGGCGCCAGGGGCAACTGATATTGTGAACTGGCACTATTTAAATAGATAAAAACACCAATTACATGGGTAAAGTTTATAATTATACATGTGTTAATGCTCAGAAATGTACTTAAGCACATATTTGCACATGAAGTGAGTAATTTAAAGAACTTTAAAGAAAGTTTAATCTTCCCAAACTGTGGATCTTGAACCAATAATCTGACTTCATCGGCTCTTAGTCCACAGCTCAGGAGCTCAGAGCATTTCCTGTTTAAGAAATATCACTTATTGTCCTTTTAAATCCTGAGACCTAAAAATTTAATTAGCTGTGGCTGAAACACGAGACAGCACCGCAGGTTACGTCTTTTATCTGATTTCACTTAATGGAACTGTTACTAGATTGTGTCCTCTCTTGCTCGTGTCTATTTTTATGTCTTCATGTTTACTGCTGTTTATAAAGCTGCTTGAAAAGCACTTGGCTTGGAGGTAATTGCTGCATAAATAAAGTTTTGCTCGCTTGGTAATACACTTTATTCCTTTTTTCTCCAGTTTCCTCGCAGGGATGTTTGAAGTGTAATTTAACCTTTTTCAGCATCTTGCATAGCAAAATGAAAACGAGGTGACTCGCAGCATATGCATTAGCGTGGGCCTATTTGTGGTGGTAGCTTATTTTTAAAGCTAGTGATATGAGTGATTCGCCTGCTCTTCTTAATAAACCTTTAGCCTTTCTAAATAAGATATTTTGCACAGACTGTCAAATAGAGGACAAAGGATAGAGAGAAAAGACTTAAAGAGGGCTAAATATGGATTAAAGAGAATCCAGTAACAGTCTGCTCCTAATTAATACATTACACTCAGGGTATCCTTAACAACGCTGCATTTCACTGCTCTCAGAGAGTTATGATAGCATCTTATGATATCTATACTCACATTTTTCTCTGATTTTGTAGCACAACAGCAACATTTTTTCTAACTTTAAAATAGGCGTATAGAATAGATACCTGCTCGGATAGGTGTGCTTGTATTATCTCTCCTAATGCATTTAATATACACATAAACGAACAGCTTAGTGAAATGTCTTCTAGTATATTTTACTGTACATAGCAACCATTTGCACATCATAAAAATTGACTTTTTCATATTATTTTTGCTTGTTTTATTTATACACTGTCTTTTTCTTCCTCATTTGGTCTCATATATACGGGCAGCACGGTGGCACAGTGGTTAGCACTGTTGCCGCACAGCAAGAAGGTTCCGAGTTCAATTCCACCTTCAGGCCGGGGTCTTTCTGTATGGAGTTTGCATGTTCTCCCCGTGTTTGTGTGGGTGTACTCAGGCTTCCTCCCACCCACCAAAGACATGCAGCTTGTGGGGATGGGTAAATTGGATAATCCAAATTGCCACTAGGTGTGAATGTGCGAGTGAGTGTGAATGGTCGTCTGCCTGCCTCTCGCCCTATCACAGCTGAGATAGGCTCCAGCGCCCCCCCGCGACTCTGAATAAGGATAAGCGGAAGCGAATGGATGGATGTTCTCATATATCTCTAATGCCTTTTTTTTTTTCTTACTGAGCTTTGTGCTGCTGTAACTTGTGAATTTCTCCAGTATGGGGATTAATAAAGTCTATATCTATCCAAATACCTCACCGAACTCTGAATATGATCTCGAAACAGTTCAAAGAACTTAAATCCATGTGAACCGAAGCACATCATTGTCTTTATAGTACAAATTTTTTTTTTTAAAGATTTTTACTGGAATGCTTCATCTCTTTGGGAAAAGAACGAGACGTTACTCTCCAAAAATCTTCTCAATACAATGCAGCTTTATTTAGATTAAATATAAACAACATGTTGTTTATACAACTGCAGCCCTTACTCGGCCAGTTTTCTGATGCTACGATAATCATGTGCAAGCACAACACAAATGTGGTTAATATTAACCAACAGACGGCATATTTGCATTTGTATAGATACACCATAAACTGTACTGTGCGCCAGTAAAGGATAAAGTCCACTGCTAGGCGTGGCATCTTCGCAGAAACAGAAAACTTGCAAGTAAGATGTTACAGGGCCTGTTACAGGTAGGATATCAATATAAAGGAGTGGCTCTTCTATTAACATTTGCCCAAAAAATAAAAAGTAAAAAAAAAAAAAAAAAAACAGACAAGGTGAAATATGAACCTCATAAACTCGGAACATAATGACTGACAGACTAAAAGGTGTCCAACTTAAATCAGATTTCAGCCCACTGCAACAAAAACAATAGAGAAAGATAAATATTTCAAGCTTACACATTCATGAAAACACTCGGCTACATCAACATTCAGCTGCCATACTGTCCCGTCTGCAGGGCTGCACAATTTCAAATATCATCTACAACCACCCGCTTCATTTCTGAAAGTCCACTGTGTCTGCGACAGGCTGAACAACACAGCCCTAACGTTACAACGGTGCGCACATCAATCAAATAACCTTTGAAATTCTGAATTTGGTTCCCAATTAGTTACAATTTTCCTGAATCACTCTAATATTTCTTCAAGTTAGAAATAGAAGCATAATCAGTGACTGTGCTGTATCGAGGGTTTTGGTTTCCCAGGATGATTTCTGTGTATCAGTTAACAAAAAAAAAAAAAAAAAAATCCACTTTAGGATCTTATAATCTCAATGTTTGTAAGAAACGAACCTTGTAAAATCAAGTTAACTACAAAAAGGTGGCTCAGAGTTATTAGACTGGAGAACCGCTGCTAAATCCTGTGACCATTTAGCTCCAAAACTTTTCCATTTCCTTCCCTAATGCTACTCTCGGGACCTTCATTAGGGTAAAAGTGCATCGAAAGGAATCATCAAATGTACAGATATATGATTAGAATTTCTCTCTTACATTTGTTTTTAAATATAACAGATTTTATATTTACAATTACAGGAACGTGGGTGCAGGCAATGCAGAAAATAAATTATCGTACATTACGCATGCACGCACATATATGTTTATATATACACATATTTATACAGTATATGAAGACAAACGCGATCATGGCCAAAGCGACCAAAGAAAACTGCCTCCACAATTTGCTGTCCAAAATCAAACACAGGGCAGAAACATGAGGTTCAAAAGCACATTCAAATAAAACTGAAGTCGTGACACAGTGATGGATGGAGCAGACAAAACAAGGAAGTACTGTCTGTGCCGCTGCCTCCCTCCTTGTAGTATCACATGATCAGCAACCACAATCTATAACAAGCTGTCGCCTCACTGTGAAAAAAGAAAATTACTCATTCTTGTACAGCCACAACTTATTACTGCAGCTGTAAAGAAACAAACAAAAATATATCAGAAAAGCTTCTATAACATTAATTTGGGTGGCTTTGAATGAGTACTAAAATACATTAGCTTATAATGGTGATCATCCCCTTCTAAGACTAAACTGCCTAGCTTCAAAGACACTGGGTTCAGTGTGGTGATGATAATCTCTTTTTAAAATCTGCATGTTAACTCGCTTAAGTGAAATTAAGCTCAGTGCTTTAAAGTTTCTGATTTATATTAAAAGGATTATATTTACAAGGCAAAAAGGAATCTTTGTTACATGCATCTTGTGTGTATGAAACTAATTAGGCGCATTTATGCTCGCCGGACCGGTGGTTCTGCACGCCAACTGTGACGTCGCAATAGCGCATCATTTAAAGCAGGATTTGCTGCAGGATTTTCCTGAATGATAGGTGTCACCACTGACGTAAAACATCCACATTCACTGTGGCACAGGAGAAAAAGTCAAAACCAGAAGCAAAACAATTGCAATGATAGAATTAAACAAGAGGTTTACTTCTGACACGAGTGCACTCCCAAACCAGCTGCTGCAGCAATGGCACGGACACCTGTGTAAAGCTACAAAAGTTTGTGGATTGACCAGAATGACGAATAAAAGGCGTGGATTGCCCGGTGGATGTGATGTCACTTTCGTCGTACATCACCGTTCGTGAGGGCAAAAACGGCGAGCATAAACGGGCCATTAGTTACCAGACATATTTGTTAATCCCCCTGGAAAAGTGACACTCCCAAACCCTCCTCAAACACTATATTTATCCAGTATTCAAGGGCTGAAGAAAACAACATACTAAATGTTACAAATTACGTAAATTATAATCTATAAATATACTCCTAAATACAAAAGTTATATACAGAACTTTGTAGCTGAAATCAATACATGTTAATAAAATAAAATCAGTTTTCTTCATGTTTGAAAGA